CAGGCAACTTTCTCTCTGTCTGACCTTAGAAATGACCTTGAAGTTAGTAAAGAGGTATCAGTCATACCCCGAGCAGATTTTAAAAACTAAACAGATCACTTTGATTTCAGCAAGATTCAGAGGAATCATTTACTTGCTCAAAATCTCGTGGGAACTCTGCTATATCTTTTTCTTGGCAAATGGTATTCCTTCGTCACACAAAAATTTACAGCCTGTGAGTTAAAATAACTGTTCTGTCTGGCGGGGAAGTAGCATTTTTAATAAATCAGAACTAAAGAAGTTAGGACTGAAACTATAAGGTGAAGTAAAGAAAATGCCTATTAAAATGGCAGACGATTACATTTTTAGTGATGGAATATATATGTGTATTTTACTTTCTTTCTCTTCCATTTGTATGAATAAATTAGAATCCTCCAGAAATAATGAAATCTAGGATCTCATTATACAAAAATAAGACTGATCTCTCCTGAAGTTGTTGAAACCCTTTAAAGCTTTCATTGAAGAAAGCCCAGAACTATCTCTATTTTCCTTGGTTTAAGTGTTCTTCAGGAACAGGAGAATTTTTCTGTTTATAGTGGTTTTCATTCTTGCTACGGGAGGGTGGTTAACTTTTTAGAAATAAATAGCTGAGGCGAACATCTTATTTTCTGTCACTGCAGTGATAAGTTTGCTTTTTTTAATTGCTGCCACTTGTTTTGGTTTTGCACAAATAAGTTGTGCTATCCTTTGTGTTTTGAGAGTATGTTTTTTGACTGCCTCTAACTGGATAGCATGGATGTTGAGGATTCAACCACACTTTCCTGCCTGATCCTCTTTTTCATTAAGAGTCCAAGTTTGGCCAGGCACAGTGAGCCATGCCTGTAATCCCGGCACTGTGGGAGGCCAAGGCAAGAGGATTGCTTTTAAGCTCAGGAGTTCGAGACCAGCCTGAGCAAGAATGAGACCCTGAGACCCCATCTCTACTAAAAATAGAAAAAGTAGCCAGTAGCTAGGTGTTTTGGGTCGCACCTGTAGTCCCAGCTACTTGGGAGGCTGAAGCAGAAAGATCGCTTGAGTCCAGGAGTTTGAGGTTGCAGTGAGCTACAATGACGCCACCGCACTCTAGCCAGGGTGAAAGAGTAAGCTCTGTTTCAAAAAAAAAAAAAAAAAAGTCGAAGTTTGCTAGATGGGAGGCTGGAGGTGAAGGGTAGCAGTGATAGCTAGCACAGCTGTGACTACACAGGGGTGACCCACCCCCATAGTCAAGTGACTTTAACCCACCAACCTAAACAATAGCTCACGCTTATTTTAGTGGGCAAGCCACACTGTCAATAAATATGATACAAGAGCCAAATAAGTTAACCTTTTTAATATACTCTCAAAGTAATTTTCTAAGCTTTTCATGATTGTGGGGAGGGGCTGTCAATCTATTTAACATGCTGGGATTGAACACATACTCAAACTTCTATAAATATAAAGTCAAGATGCAGATTATTGCCGGCAAACACAGTTATCAGCAAACACCATGTGGCTATATAACGTGCTAACAGCAACATGAAGAACCTTGTGAATAGCTAATCAGCTTTTACTGAAGGACTTCAAAATTTATATTCTATAGAGAATAACAGAAACAAAAACTGCCTTAAAGAACTTTTCTACCAGTTGTTTTAAAAACTTGTAGAGCCTCAGAACTCTTTGTCCAAATGAAACCCTAAGAGGATAGCCAGTAGCAGGAACAGATCATGGTGGTACCAGACTGGTTGGAGGCTGGTCCCCACCCACTGCACCTGGACCAGGCCTGCTCTGGCCCCAGAGACATTTCCTCAATCTAAGCACCAATATAAACCAAACCCGACCTTATAATAGAAAGAAAATAGTAAATCCCAGAGAGGTTAAGAAACTTCCCTGAGTGACTTGATATCTAAAATAGCAGAATTCTGTCTGTGTCTAGTCTCATGCCTTTTCCATTATGTCAAAATTCCAGTCCCGTGAGGCATGAAAGAACACATTTCTTCTCTTTTTCATGGCGCCTCGGAGGCGATCAGCTGCTTCAAGATGAAGCTGAATATCTCCTTCCCAGCCACCAGCTGCCAGAAACTCATCGAAGTGGACGATGAACCCAAACTTCGTACTTTCTATGAGAAGTGTACGGCCATGGAAATTGCTGCCGACCCTCTGGGTGAAGAATGGAAGGGCTACGTGGTCCGAATCCGTGGTGGGAACGACAAGCAAGGTTTCCCGCGAAGCAGGGTGTCTTGACCCATGGCCGTGTGCACCTGCTACTGAGTAAGGGGCATTCCTGTAATAGACCAAGAAGAACTGGGGAAAGAAAGCACAAATCTGTTCAGGGTTGTATTGTGGATGCCAACCTGAGTGTTCTCAACTTGGTTATTGTAATAAAAAGGGGAGAAGAGTATCCCTGGACTGACTGATACTACACTACCTTGTTGTCTGGGGCCCAAAAGAACTAACAGAATCCGCAAACTTTTCAATCTGTGTAAAGATGTTATTAACCAATATGTCATAAGGAAGCCCTTAAACAAAGAAGGTAAGAAACCTAGGATCGGCCAGGCGCGGTGGCTCATGCCTGTAATCCTAGCACTCTGGGAGGCCGAGGCGGGAGGATCCCTCTAGGTCAGGAGTTTGAGACCAGCTTGAACAAGAGCGAGACCCCATCTCTACTAAAAATAGAAAGAAATTAGCTGGACTACTAAAAATATATATAGAAAAAATTAGCCGGGCATGGTGGCGCGTGCCTGTAGTCCCAGCTACTTGGGAGGCTGAGGCAGTAGGATTGCTTAATCCCAGGAGTCTGAGGTTGCCGTGAGCTAGGCTGAGGCCACAGCACTCTAGCCAGGGCAACAGAGCGAGACTCTGTCTCAAAAAAAAAAAGAAACCTAGGATCACAGCACCCAAGAGTCAGCGACTTGTAACTCCTCGTGTCCTGCAACATAAATGCCAGCGTATTGCTCTGAAGCAGCATACTAAGAAAAATAAGGAAGAGGCTACAGAATATGATAAACTTTTGGCCAAGAGAATGAAGGAGGCCAAAGAAAAGCACCAGGAACAGATTGCCAAGAGAC